CGGGTGGCTTCGGGTCGGCTGAACATGCCCAGCATGTTCGGCCGACCCGAAGTGCAAAAGGAGTTCGACTCAGCCTATCCAACATCTGGATCAGCTAAGCTGAACCTCCGGCAGGCTACTCGCTGCTGTTGGGTCTATTCTTATATATGCCGAACATCAGTGAGTGAATAGCCGAAGGCCGCTGAGCATCATTCGGCTCGTCTGTTCTGCTCGCTCCCTCTGTGGTACCGAGCAGAACAGAAACATAGTTTAAAAAGTAGAAAAATAGAAAACGATTGTGCGGAGCTAGCAATGCAGCTAGCTTCGCCCAACAGTTTTCTATTGGCCGGCGGTTCTGCTGCCGTAAAAAAAAAACAAAAAAAAAAAACATTTGGCCATAGGAATGCACTGCTAGATCCCTATTGGCTATTTCAATTTGCAATAGCCAATAGCAAACTGGCTATTGTACCCGCCCTCTGCTGATGTCAATCACTAGTGGAGACCTGATGGAGAACTGCAGCAGAGGGTGGGTACAATTGCTAGTTTGCTATTGGCTATTGCAAATTGAAATAGCCAATAGGAATCTAGCAATGCATTCCTATGGTGAAAATTAATTGTTTTCTATTCTGACACGGCTCCGTGTCATAATAAAAAAAAAAAGAAAAATCAGTGTTTCTCCCCTTGGAGGCCGGGAGTGGGAGACTCCTGGAGCGCCCGGGAGAGTTAGGCTGTCTGAAGATCAGTGTCCCTGGTTAGCTGGTAACCAGGGACGCTGAATGATGACTACATACATGAGGAATCAGTCATCCTGTCTGATATCCAAGTAGATTTTAATTTAGTGAGATAGTAATTAGTGTGTCCTGAATGTCTAAATTGTTGACAAATTATGTCTAAAACAGCCAATAACCAAGCCATTTTTTTACCATTATAAGAGTAATTCAAATGGGTATCAGCTTGTATATGCTAGTATGTACACAACAAAAAGCTTCAAGCAGTCTTATGGGCTTCAGGAAAATTAAACAATCAAATTTTTTTTCTGATTTGTATGTAAAATCAGAAACTTGTGTGAACTAGGCCTAAAGAACCCTAAGCCAAGGTCAAAATCAAGTAATACATTCGCATCCACCAGGCAATCTTACAGTCTCTTTGAAGTAATAGGCAATCCGCTCAGGTAATCCTGCTCTGAACATTAGAAAAATTCAAGAGCAGGTAAAAGTGTACTGAAACTTTTTATCCTGCATTGAGCTCTTTATTTTTTTAAATGTTTGTCTTGTTGACCAATCGTTATAGCACACACCTTAATTTAAGGCTATCTGTGATTATCTGTATAGCGAATTCAACATTGCCACAACCTCGCACACTGGATTTTTATCATCCTCGTGTCAAAAGAGAGGTCTTTGTGTCTACATTAGCTTCATAAGATCAGAATAAGGCAGTGCACTATAAGGAGGCTTAGAAGAAACAGAGACGGATAGCACATTTAACATGGGGCAGAGAGAAGGAGCTGAATGATAATAGCACTAAAACAGACCGGAGAAAAAGCACAGCTGATGAGTAATTGATCATAGCAAAGGTTGTTGGGAAGATCCAATGGAAAGGAAATTGGAAGAAACGAGAGGAGTGATAACAGACACACGGGAAAAAAAGGAGAAAGAAAATAAATTGAAAAGGGTGAAATGAGATTAGAAAACATACGTACAAGTGTAGGTTGTTTGCATAAAAGTGGTGATTACGGGAAATGAAAGAAAAGGAGCACTGGGTATCTGTACCAGTCATACAACAGAAGGCTTATTGCAATATATACAGTAAGTATTATGTAGAGAAAAAGCCTGCATCAGACAACAAGGATCTTCTGCAACATTCTGTATAATATAAAGAGAAAAGGGCATTTTCTGTTTCTTGTCAATACTGTAGTACTGAAAGGTTCTGGTACACATCCAGCTTTATATCCTCAGGGAAAACCACCATTCTCTCTGTTCTCTTTCTTGGTACTTCTCTACTGTCATTCTGAAAATACCATACTCATTCCTTCCTTTCCTCTTTGTCACAGATTGTATGCTATCATCTGCATTTTTTCTACCTTTTTTCTGTGGCTCCTCCTCCTCCCTTGTCTCTGTGCTACAGGTTGTATGCTATCATCTGCATTGTTCCACTCTTCCATTGTGGATCCTCTTTCCCTTTCCTCTGTATTACAGACCGTATGCCATCATCTGAATCATTTTACTCTTCACTCTTCCCATGTGGTTCTTCCTATTCCTTGATTCTGTGCTGCAGGTAGTTGCTTATCATCTGCTTTATTCCAATTCTTCCAGTGGGCCCTCTTTTCCCTGGCTCTATGCTGCACATTTTATCTGTAATCTTCACTGTGCCACTCCTCCGTTATGACTCTTTCTGTCCTGTGACTCTGTTTTGCAGAATTTGTGCTGTCATCTGCACTGTTCAATCATTTACTAAGACCCCTTCTTACATTTACAACTGTGCTACAGTCTGCATTTGCTTTGATCGTACTTCACTCTTAACCCGCTATTTTTTATCAATGGCCTAGCAAGTTGTACTACTCCAAAAACATCTAAACTGCAAGATTTAAACTGTCCATACACTAGTAGATTTATGAACGAATGTTCATAAGAAAAATCTTTCTTTACCACCAAATAATGCCATCAGGCACTTGACGAATGTCGATCAAAATTTGATTTTAATGTTCAATTTTGAAATGAATGGAGTTTCCTGAATTAAAATCACATCACTGTTAAAATTTCCTTTGTTTGAAAACATTTTTTCCATCCTGCTCCTTCCAGTTTTTCATCACTATGGTCGAAATCGATGGTCGATTTGACCCCACCCACTAATAGAAAGTCGAAAGAAAGTTCTTTCATATGAACGTTAAAAAATAAATAAAAATTAAGCAGTGTATGGCCAGCTTTACAACATGGAATCTAAAGCCCCTCCTTCTCAGTATGCAAGAGAAATGAAAGCATTATTGAGATACAATGAACAATAATTTCAAGTTCCAGGGTTACATGGCTAGTTGTTTCTTCAGCATTCAATATAAATTCTAATAGTAACACTGGTCCAGAACTTGAGCTTGCTTTGTCTAGGGGTAATCTGGTAGACAGTAATTGTTATATTAATTCACAGCCCCATGACGGCTGGTACTATGGTCATCTTATTTCCTGCCCTAAAATCTCATGGCCCTTGACAACATAACATCCAGTGTAGGACCAATATTGTGATGATGTCAGCGAGAGGGGCAGGAACACAACTGGAAAAGAAGAGAAGCTTCAGCAGACTAGTTGGGTGAAAGCCTGCAGGACTGTGGAATAAGGTATAAATTCCTCTCTATTAGATCACACCCAAGACAAAACAAATATTTTAGCATGCATGTGCTGGGGGTTGGGTCAATCCACATTTAATATCCTGAAAGCAAAGGACATCTGAAGAGGGGCACACTGGCACAGGTCTGTATCGTGGAAGTAAATGATAGTAAAATTAAGATAATGCAATTATTCTAAAATCTGTTTGTTTTTGTTGTTGTTCACTTTTTCACAATTAAATGCAAAAAGGCGGTGGACACCTAGTAACCTATGGGAATCAAGTGGGTGTCAAATAAACCTCCCCTTACTGACACCCTTTCTTAGATACTAGGGGGTCTATTCACTAAGCTGTAGCCTCTAGCCGTAGCTGTGTACTCTAGCCGTAGCTTCGGCTGATCCTTCAGCTAGCTTCAGCCCCAGGACCCCTTTGGTTCAGTAGAAGCAAAGGGCTGCTGTATGGGCTATTCACCATAGCCCGTACAGCTCCCGAAGTCGGCCGAGTGGCTCAGTCGAGCCGAAGGCATATGCTTCGGCTCGACCAAGCTGAGGTGAAAGCCGAAGCTGGCCAGCCGACAGCCTGCTTCTGACAGCTGGGCGGAGCCAGCCGTTATCTTACGGCTGGCCCCAGGCACTTGCAGAGAGATCAGCATCCCTGGTTACCAGCTAACCAGGGACGCTGTCATTACACACTGAGAACCCGGCCGGGCCACTATGATATCATCAGGTCCCCCTCTGGTGATTGACAGCAGCAGAGGGCGGGTGCAATACCTAGTTTGCTATTGGCTATTGCAAAGTGAAATAGCCAATAGGAATCTAGCTATGCATTCCTATGGTGTTTTTTTTTTCTTTTGACGGCAGCAGAACTGCTCGGCCAATAGAAAACAGTTCGGCGGAGCCAGCTGTCACTGCTAGCTCCGCACAATCGTTTTCTAATTTTTTTTCTACTTTTTAACTATTTTTCTATTCTGCTCGGTTCCACAGAGGGACCAAGCAGAACAGCTGAGCCGAATGCCGCTTAGCGGCATTCGGCTATTTACTCACTGCTGTTCGGCATCTATGAGAATAGACCAAACAGCAGCGATTAGCCTCCTTCTGCACTTTGGGTTGGCCGAACATGCTGAGCATGTTCGGCCATCACAAAGCCACCCGATTGAGTGTATTAGACTTACTGAGTATCCGCTCTTAACCCTGCCGCAGCCACTGTATTCTAGTATTTCAATTGCCAACCCACAGTCTAGGACGCAATAGTACTGTGTTGAATTGTGTTGTTTTTCCTTTGATTACGTGATGGTAGAATCTCAAACTCACCGTTGAGATTGTGAGTGACGCCTGAGATTCGTATCTGATTGATCCTATTACTCCGCAGTTGTGATCCACTATTGTAAAAACTGCAGACGTGACACCGATGTACAGCTGATTTCAGACAATATACGCCTGGATTAGGGTTACAAGGAACATTCTCCCCAAGAGAGTTATATCACTTTGCTTGGGTACTTTGAGATTTACTATCCTTGAGAACTCTGTATGCTGTGTGTTTAGCCTGTTTCCTACTTTATCTCGAGAGAGCTTGTCACTATTTGACTTCTTTGCCCAATCAGACTTCCACCTTGCCTGGATATACCATCTACCTAACTGGATCTCCAGCTTGGCTCTTATGGAACTGTGTGGCGGCAGGGACCAGCAGGGATCACCCCAAAATGAATATCATTATGTTATACGGATGTCTCTGCTCAATGTATTTCTATGTCTGCGCCAGGCTGTCTGGAGTGGCCATTGTTTAGGATAATGAGATCAAGCTCTAATATGATTAAGGACTATAATTATCTATGGATGTCCCTGCTCAATGTATTTCTATGTAGGTGCTAGACTGTTTGGGGTGGACATTGTTTAGAATAATGTGATCAAGTTCTTAACTAATTTTGTGGGGTATAAATTCTGTGCATTTTGTTCAATAAACCAGTTCCTGTTTTTACTCCAAAATCTGTGTTGCCTGATTCTTGGGGTAAACATTTGTTATATTCACTTTCTTATGGTTCCAGAGTAGAGGAAGCCTAATTCTGACAGAGGTAACCTGTCGGGGTATCAGGGGGTCTGTTACACCTTCTTAAAGCATTCTCCAGTTACTGAAGGATATGCAGGCTGATATAATCACAACAAGGAACATTTACCATTCTCATTGTGTCATTACCATGGGGAAACCAACCCATGTGTTTGACAAACAATGATATTATGTTTAGAAAGTGGAACTATTGTTTTGAATAAAGCAAGCTGATAAGGGCTAAAGCCAATAAAACACAAGTTCAGTAATCTCTAAATGCAATCATTACTTCTCCATTACAAAATGTGCCACCTTAGCCTGCAAAGTATTTTAAGACACATTCCTCAAATAAACGGTAAAATGTACAGTAATGGCATTTACCCTTTAAAGAACATATGCTGTCATATGTTGGTAGTTGTTTTAAGAGTTTCTTTAAACATTTTTCCAAGATATAAATTCAACATTAGTTATGACTAAGAAACATATCATTTAGACATGAAAGCTGGCGAAAAATTTGGTTTGTTTCTTTATTTTGTTATTCGGGAATCGGGTCCGAAGGTCAATTCAGGTCGGGAGTCAGACAAATCCAAAATTTTTGTTAATTTCACACAAATGGGTGGAGCAAGTTGTGAGGTCACAGGACTTGGTCTTCCCATTTGTTTCCATTCAGGACCAGCTGTCATATAACAACAACTATGTTCCAGAATGGCATTCAGGAGTCTAAACTGCAAATATAGCATTCAGGAGCTCTCAAATGTCATTTGGGTCTGGGACAGTCTGGCTTTCTATTCAGCTGTCCCTCAAAGGCTGTGTCTGTCTGTCTGTCTTACTACCTCTACCTTATGCCATAGATCATGGCATTCGAAGCTCCCAAACGCCTTTCAGGTCTAGGAGCCGAGGTGCCATCATAATGACAACAACTCGGCCGGCTAAGGCTCCCAGATCCAAATGGTATTCGGGAGTCCAGCTGACTGAGTTGTTGTTATTATGATGACACCTCGCTCCTAGACCCTAAAGGAGTTTAGGAGCTCCAAATGCCATTTTATGGTGAATAAAAAGCCATACAAAACACAAAAATTCCCCAGCCTCAACCTGCCAGCCAGCCTGCAACCAAACAAATAGCCATGTCAACAGTATGCGTTAAAATCAGAGGTTTTAGTTGCACAAACTTTTGGCCAAAAATATGTAGAAGCCACACTGCCGCACCAAGGCACCTCTGCAAAGTGTGGTCCTAACTCTATGTATGCGAATCTACAAGTGTGAGCATATTAATGAAGTCGATAAATTACATGCAGGTGCACCTGGAGGTAGCCAACTCCTCCTAATAAGGTGCAGGGATGCACTGGAGGCCCAGCAACCAAAATGCACGCTGGGACTCCAGTGCGTCCCCCAAACCAAAAATAGGCAAACTAAAAAAGATGGTACATGCATGAATCTATAACCAGCCTTTATAGCAGGGCGCACATTGGGAAGGCTTACAACAATACAAAACACAAAAATTCCCCAGCCTCAACCTGCCAGCCAGCCTGCAACCAAACAAATAGCCCTGTCAACAGTATGCGTTAAAATCAGAGGTTTTAGTTGCATAAACTTTTGGCCAAAAATATGTAGAAGCCACACTGCCGCGCCAAGGCACCTCTGCAAAGTGTGGTCCTAACTCTATGTATCCGAGTCTCCAAGTGTGAGCATATTAATGAAGTCGATACATTACATGCAGGTGGACCTGAATAAAAAGCCAGACCGTCCCGGAAAATCTGGGACAGTTGGAAATGTCTTAGCATGCAAAGGGACATAACCATACAACTTAAGGACATGACGGAGAGAGAATGAGGGAGGAGCTGCTGATGAGACTTTATTAAAATGACTTCAAAAAGTGAGTGGCTCATTTAGATGTGAAAGTGATTACCAAGGTGAACTGTAGAATTACTTAGGGGCTGCTAATTGGAAAGTTTATTGTTGGTCATATCCAGCTGGTGTAGACAGCCATAAGAGAGGATCACTGGTCGAATTTACAGCACCGGTCGAAATTCGCACAGTGTGTGCAGCTGTCAGTTCCCTTTCAGCCAGCATTCCTCGATCAGCTGATCGAAGGAGCAAGCTGGAAAATTTTCGAACAAATGAGCTGCCTGCAGGTTTTCTGATAGTTGCCGGCGGCACCTGTCAGAATACAACATAAACAGCGAGATTCCTCGATTGACACGCTGTTTGTGTTGATGGAGTAATCGGGTCAATTTTTTTCGTTCAGCCCGTGGCCATACACCGATAGATTTTCTGCAGATTTTCTATGGTCAGATGGAAAAAGTGCAACAGATTTCTCCATCTACGCTAAACTGTGTGGATGGAGAAATCTCCCACTGGGCCAAGCTTCGGTATCTTGCTAGTCGGCTCCACTGGCTCTCAAAATACCTGAACAATGCCTGTATCTAATCAGATTGTTCAGGTATTTTGAGAGCCAGCGGGGCCGACTAGCAACATACTGAAGCTTGGCCCAGTGAGAGATTCCTCCATCCACACAGTTTAACATAGATGGGGGAACTTGTTGCACTTTTTCCATCTGACCATAGAAAATCTGCAGATAATCTATAGGTGTATGGCCAGCTTAACTCCCAACTCTAACCCTCCCTGTAACCGTCCTCTTAACCCTCCTTATAACCCTCCCACTAACTCTATGTAAAATTCTCCCAATAACCTTCTCTAGTTGTTTCTGTAATCCTTACACTAACCCTCCTTGTAACACTTCCTATATAACCCTAACACACTTCCTGTAAGACTCACACTAATTCTCTCTGTAACCCTTACACAAACCCTCACTATATTACTCACACTATCCCTCTTTGTAATCCTCACACTAGTTCTCCCTGTAACCCAAAAAACTAACTAAAGCATGACAGCCAGTCAACTGGCACTTTAGGAGACCAGGTCAGAAGTGGCAAGCCTCTTTATTTCTTTCATGACAGTTTTACTTTAACTACAGTGTGATCAAAAACATTTAAATTCCAGGAGTACATTTCACAGTATCATGAACACTTGCCTACCAGCAGTGCAAGTCTATAATTAAAACATATTGAAAGCAAGAGATGATTTACAGAGGCTGTAAAAGGACAATGCTA